ACTTCCAATTGGCCCATTTCAATCCACGGAATGCTAGATTCTTGCAATGCTGAACTGTTAAACACAACTACCTTCTTCTATTTCTAACAGTTTCCACTCGATGCTCTTGGAGGTGCCACTTCCACAACCACATTGCCTGAAATGACTATGCTGTCCCTTCCTGGTATTTCTGTTTCTTGCGGGTAAGTGATTGTTCTGTAGCCAACAGGCTTGATCCTGACTTGAATGTGGACGTTTGCTGAAGGGTTCTGGTAGATGTCCTCAGTCAAGTTTTCTTTCTATCCCTAGCTTCACAAGATTCACATCTGGAATGAGTGTTAAATTTTAGGAAATGTTTTTCTAGCATCTGTCGAGATTATCATGAGTTTTTTTTCCTCATTAGATCTGCCTTTTTAAAAAGTAACAATAAATAGATTTCCCAATGTTTTAAGTTACATTAACAGATTATTTTGTATTCTTGGATAAACCCTACTTTGCCATGGCTGTGTTCTTTTAGATTTAATTTGCCAATGTTTTTTCAATGATTCCATTTGTTCCTAAGTGAGATTGATCTATAGTTGTCTTTGACACACAACCTTCTGGAATAAGGGTCATGCTAGCCTCAGAGACCAAACTGAGAGGTGTTTCAGATTTCTGTGTTAACTGAAACAGATTAAAGAAAATAGAAATTCTTCCTTGAAATTTCATTTTTCTTTTAAATTCAAGCATTACAAGGCAGAGACTTCTCTTACATCGATTAGATGTCCACTGATTGCTGCCCACTCGTTGATTTCCAGTTCACCGTACTGTGACGACAGGACGCAGCCTACAGGACTTCCTTGCGGTCTGCCTCAGTCATTCTTCATGGTGTTAAGAGTAAAACTGAGACCAGTGGGACTCTTTCCCCCTTACATGCAGGTTGTTTCTCTTTAGACATTCCGAGATCGTTTGTTTATCCTGGGATTACATAGATTTTGTCAGGGTGTATTTTTAAAGTGTCTCCTTTCTCATTATTTTTTCTCAGTACTTAGGCTTTTTAACATGAGGTCAGTCTTTCATCAGAATTTTTTCCCCTATTACTTCTTTTCTTCAGTTCTCACCTTCTAGAACTTTTATGCATACCTTCACTGATTCATTCAAAAATATTGATCACTCACCGTGGGCCTGGAACTGTCATGTACGCAGGAGTCAATGGTGAATTCTCCCTCTGTATGGCTCCTAACCTCACCAATTTTTATTTTAAATGGATGCTATTCACCTGAGTATCCCATGGGTCTTAACTTTTCATTAATCATTTCCGCCTATCTGATCTTTTCTCAGAAGTTCTGGAAGTATCCCTGGGCTCAAATCCTAGGTCAGTAATCTGATCTTCGCTCATGTTTATTCACCTGCTTGGCCTGAAATAGGTATTTTCATTTTTTTATTTCCAAGATATATCTTTTTCATAGTTTACATTTTTTTAAATTAGTGCAAAAACCTCTCAAATCTTTGAAGATTATATATAAAACACCATATCTAAGGATTACATATAAAACTATTATGATTACTAATTATTACATGTAATGCTAATCATGCTTACGCTAACGTTCTTTCTCCCCCCTGCACTGTTTCCCCAGAAATTATTTCTGCTTGAAGGTTACTGCTTCTCTCTCATGTTGCTCTTTTCCTTCGCAGTTTGTTGCTCCTAGGTTGTCTGCGTAAAAGGAGAAAGCAAGGAACCAGCAGACTTTTTCTGTGAAGGGACAGTCAGCAAAGTCCTTTAGGCTTTGAGAGCCGCATTAGGACTCTATCATGTCGTCTTTGTTCCTCACAACCCTTTACAAACGTAAAATCCAGATGAAAGCAGGCACTGGGAGGCTGGCGAACTAATGGCGGTCTGCCAAGTGCTAGGTTTTAAGTGCGGTCACCTGAAGTTTGTTTTCTCGGTCTGAGTGAAATCCCCTGGCCGACTCTGCTGACAAGGAAGGAATTGCTGAGGCAGGAGGGTGGAACAGTTAGGAGGAAAAATGGGAAATGGAGAGCTACCAGGTTTTCGTCTGTCTGTTTCCTAAGTATGAGGAACCAAAGCTTCTTGTGGTGTCCACAAAACACACAGGACGCTGCCACATTCTGACGGCCCCTGTGTGTGTCCTCTGGGATGCTCCTGTATCAGAAGTCTCACTCCTCTTGGCAAACAGCATGCTGTGTCATGGCTCTCACTTGACGGGACTCCGTGGACCAACTGCTCTGAGCCAGAGGCAAGCACAACCACTCAGTCCTCTAAAACTGCCTCACCACACAGACTGCAGCCATCCACTCACAGCGGCCTCTGAACATGCAGGCCATTCCCTACTGTCATCTGCCTGTGGCCATGGCTGCTTCTCCTCACCAAGATCTGGCTCCTGGTTTTCCATCTTCTAGAAGTGCCTCACAGCACTCCCTTGTTGTGCTTCCAACGAGGCTCTGGGTTTATCTTTACTGTTGTAATTTTTTGTCACTGTGCATCTTGTGTAATTTTAGCAGAACTTTAGAAGACAGTGACTTGAATCCAGCCTGCCACTTCAATCTGGAACTCTCCCCAAATTCATACTTTTCTTCCCCACTCCGTCACCAGAGGGACCATCTCCCATCACTGTCAACACCACCTCACCTCTACCCCTACTATACAATTTAAAAAAATTTTTTAAATAGAAACAAACAAAAAACTAGGAAAATCAGAAGGAAAAAAGTTGGAAGAGACAAGTATGACGGTTTCCGTATGACTGTTTCCGAGGAGCCCTCAGATGGTGCAGTGCTGACTGAATTCACCACAGCCAAAAAGCTGCCCCAGGCCTTGCAGGCTCCCTGATTTAAACAGTGATCCAGCTATCAGGGTAGGAACTCTAACTGTCAAGGGCAAATTGTCCATTTATTACATGAACTGTAACTGTCAACTGGACTGAAACACTTCTGCCAGCATGACTACTCTTTTCTGTCCACTGGGAGAATGACAATGGATGTCAAACTGTAATCAAAAGTTTGCTTGTCATTAATGCCTCTGAATAGTACATTCAAAAAAAATGAAAGTGGTAAATTTTACACAATGTATATTTTACATATACATTAAAAAAAGTTTGACTCCAAAACAAGGACAATTTGGTAGGTGAAGCAAATGTTAAATAAGGTAAGTCTGATAACAAGATAACTTGACACTATCTCTACAATAAGAACAATCTTGCCAATAAAAACAGAGTTCTTAAATACATTTTAAAGTGTCCTACCAATATCTGCCTTTCTAGTACTTTTTTCTACATGCATGTCCAAGACTTTTTGGATACAAATTTCTGTAGACATTTGCAGTTATTTTCACCTCATTCTTAGAAAGGATTAAAGGTTTTTTAGATACGATATTATATTACACTATTATAAAACATAATAGATAGTATATGAAATAAGTAAGTATATTTTACAATAGTGTGACATTATGAAGTACAAACACAGTGTCTGAGTGCTACAATACGGTCAAGTTACAGTCAGGTCTCGGCAACTCTAGGGATCACTCTTACCTCCTGAAGTAGGATCATAAATTCAAACGTTTATGCGGACAGGAAGTTAATATAAACATGGTAAGGCTGAGATCTAAGGCTGGAGAAGCAGGCAAGGAACAAAACACACAGCACCATGACTGCCACAGCAAAGCGATTAGGATGTTTATACTACCTGGTATTAAAAGCCAATGAAGGACTTCAAGTAGGGGAATAACACGAAAGCAAGCTTATTATATGGGCAAACTACTCCTCCTATTACCACAACTTTACAAAATGCTTATAGGAATTAAATAATCTAATGGGGGGGGGACAAAAACAAAAACAAGGCCCAGTCTTCTGACCCACAGAGGCCTGTAACAGGTCATGCCAGTGTTTCTGTGAAATACTATGGAGAATCTCCCAAACTTACACTCATTTATTAACAGACAGGAGCTGTAGGTACTACAATTTGTTTGAAGCGACCACAAATATTCTCAAAATGCAATCACTGACCACTACTATGAGAATCACCTGGGATATTTTTTAAAAACACATCATCTCCAAAGAATATGATCTAGTACACCTGTAGTACAGGTGGCCCCAAACTCTCACTTCTACAAAAATGTAAGAACTACTATCCTTATGTTTCCTCAGAAAAGCTTCTTCTAATGTTCAAGGTACCTTGAAGGATGAAGAGTCTGCAAAAGAAAGCTGACACGTTTAGCCTTTTAATAAAGAAAACAAATAATGCCTGGGTAACAGAAGTTGAAAGCTTATTAAAGATACTACATAAATCCTTATCACAAAAACAGTGAAAATATAAACACTGAAGGATCACAGAAATTAACCTGCCAGCAAAGTAAACTGCCTACAAATTATCCAGTAAGATATACAAAAGTTTAAATTCCTGAATTAAGCACAATAACAAAATATACTTTATTAACATCTTGCAAATAAGCTAATCTGAATAAAGGTCTTAACACGTTTCACAAAACTCAGTACTAAGATGTTCTTTGTTATCTCTCACACTCAAATGCTTACTTAGAGGTTGTTATACAGATTCTTGTTATACAGAATTCTTTCCAAAAGTTCTACATATCAATCAAATTACTCAGGGCAGTCTTTTTTTTTTTTTTTTTTAAGTACTCTACTAATGCCAGATTCATTCCTCAGTACCCACGGGGGATTGGTTCTAGGACTCTCGCAGATACCAAAATCCACGGACGCTGAAGTCCCTTACATAAAATGGTTAAGTATTTGCATATAACTTAAAAAAATCCTCTTATACTTTGAATCATCTCTAGATTACTTATAATACCTAATACAATGTAAGTGCAATGTAAAATATAAATACTATTTAAATTGTTGTCAGTTTCTGGCAAATTCATGTTTTGCTTTTTAGAATTTTTTGGAACTTTTCTCCCCCTAAATATTTTCAATCCATAGTCGGTTGAATCCAAGGATGCAGAACCCTCGGGTACGCAGGGCTGCCTGTAATTTTAATCCAAAGGGTTAAAAGGCTTTTACATCATTTTCACCTGAGCCCGTCCACAAGTACTTTAAAATAAAGGAGAAACAAGAAGGTTCATCAAGCCCTGCGCTCCTGAGCACGAGGCTCCGGAGGCCTGTGCGGGTAGATGCAGACTCCCGGATAGGATCCAGATTTCTCCAGTCTTCAACTAACCTCTTATTTGGCTCCAGTTCCTTACAAACGGATATAAATGCCTATGGGATTTTCCCAACTTACAGATACGCAAATCTAGCCCATGACAATAAACCCAAATTGACCTCAAAAACTGTTTTTCAAAAACTCTTGTTATATGCAAAAAGATACATTATCTGTGAAACTCCACAAATGCCCATCCATCCATCCACTGAATGCTTCAGAATTACTTAACATATCCGTATGTTCGTCCATTCAATGCCTCAGAATTTTGAGAAGCTAAGTTCACTGGAAGGGTCCTCCTCTCAAAAGAGACCAGAGGAAGGATTCAAATAAGAGCACGGCTTTTTTCAGTGACGTAGATGGTTACTTGGAAATAGATCACCTATCAATCTCGTCTTCTCTTGTTGAGTATGTAAGCATATGAGCTACAAAAATGAAAGAAATATTCAAGGGAGAAATGATTCTTTCTAAAAAAGTGATACTTTTGCTTCTTGACTCTTCAACCAAAAAACAGGCATAACAAAAGAACTAACACAACTATGAAAAATTATTTGTATTCAAATATATTTCCAAGAAGATTTCAAGATCTGACACAGGCACAGAGAAAAGAAATGAATTAAAACAAGTATAAACAGGTCAGTTATAGACTGACCTCTAATTGAAATATGTTAAAAAATATTTTAATTATACTTAAAAAAAGCGAAGTAAATTTTTTCTTTAATTCACATCTTCTCAATTATCTTAAAACACTTGAGAGCTGAACTCATACGTTAAGGCAAATCCTGATTTTATATACTCATTTAACTGATGAATTGTTTCATTTAAAATTGCTAATCCAGGGAGTTTTTGTAAAAAACGTTTTATTGCTACAAAGGGAAACATGGTCACAAAAAGCCTTTAAGCGTATCTTAACGCAAATTACTATTCAATGTCCAATGCCGTAAAAAAATACACAGAGCACAAAATACTTGCCCAATTTATCTCTTCTAGGGTAAGTATTCAAAACATTAATGCACACTTGAATATACACTCCCAAGAGCAGCATTTAAGTTCAAATGATTAGAATAGATATACTAACAATACACATCTGTTATCCTTAACACCAATAAAGTAATAAAAATTAAGCTTAAAAATTATACAAACAATTTATCGAATCTAAGTTTGGTAGCTATAAAAACTAAAATAGTCTTACCTTCATTTTATTAAACAAATGTCAAACGTTTAGAAATTATATAAAACAAATTGTAATGTGTGGAATGCATGCAACATGGTGTTAACTCTCATATTTAAACTATTAAAATTCTTACCATTTTCCACATTGGGACAGAAATTTAAAGCTTCTTTTAAATCTGACTAACACCTTACATTTAATTTTCTTCAGGTTGGTCAACAGGGAAGCCAACAGGCTCCTCCTTGGCTTCTTCTTCCTCTGCGTCCTCCCCTTCCCCGACCCCCTCTCCTCCCTCTGCTCCCCCCAGAGCCCCCTCCTCCCCCACTCCCTCTGTGTCCCCTCCTTCCTCTGTGTCCCCTACTCCTTCTACTCCTCCACCTTCCCCCACTTCCTCCACTTCCTCCCCTTCCTCCCCTTCCCCCACTTCCTCCTCTTCCTCCTCCTCTTCCTCCTCTTCTTCAACAGGCTCATCAATCTTTTCTTCCTCCTCCTCATCTCCTTCTATTTGTTGATCTTGAGAATGATCTTGAATTTCAAAAGGATTCTCACCCTAAAATCATGAAGAAAAATAGTTTTTAACATCAGCACATTCATTTTTTAATCAGTGAAATTTTAATTTACTGTGTCATTGAAAATACTATTTAGAGCTTTTTATTTCAACTTATGGCAAATCTGTTTAATACTTGTTAAGCATCTATTTCATACCTATGTGAGTATATAAATTCCTGAAGTCATTACTTTATACTCCATAAAACAAAGCAGATGAAGATTTATGTTCTACTTAATTATACCAGTATCCAATGTACTACGGTTGCAGGTCCTCTTTAAAAAATTCAAATGAAAATTAAACAAAACTCAAATGAAAAATCAGGTATGTATCAGATAGCATGCCTTACTTTTACTTTAAACAAGCAAATCTGGAATTTACTAAACATTCACAGATACAATTTTATTTTAGTATTTTATTTAAATACTTACACTGTGTACCTGGATTGTATCTCATAAATTGGACCATATAAGAAGGCTGTATGAGTGACGTGAGAAGTGAAAAGGCAGGGAGGTCACTAAGTAGGGGAGATTAAGACTGGTGCTACACTTCAAGATGCACCAAGTAGGAAAGGTTGTGCTCTACGCTGGAATTTGACACAACATTGTAAAATGACTATAACTCAATAAAAAATGTTTAAAAGAAAAGAAAAAATAAAATAAAATTTAGAGGTGTGAAACTAAAGACTGAAAAAACGATGCACCAAGTAGGAAGATGAGCTGGAGCAGCAAGAGAAGAAGCACTAGTGCGGAGTCCACTCTAACAGCCCAGGAAAGGGCAAAAGAGACAGTGACACCATTAACGGAACAGGTAAATTAAGATGGGGAAAGGGGAAGAGGCAGGTATAGGCTGCATCTAATTAAAATCTAAGATGTCTAATAGGAAACTGTAAGCTTGCAACTCAAGAGAGAGACTTCCAAGTAAGACATTTAGATTTCAGAACTGGCGGCACAGAGTGAAGAGTGAAACCAGGTCTTAAATAGGACAGCGGTGGCGGGGGTGGGGGGGGCGCTGAGGGAGCAGGCAGGAAAAGAGCCGGGAATAAACCCTGCTGAAGTTGCCTGCACATGGGGGACAGGGTTAGAAAAGGAATCCACAGCGCAGGAGGAAACCCAGGGTAACACAACATAATCCAAAAAACAAAGTTTCAAGACTGAATGACAGATCAGCTGTGTCAAATGAGGCAAACAGGTAACAACGGAAGAGAACTGGAGAAGGTCCCTAGAGCTGACTAGTTACTAAAGCCGAGTACGGGTACTTGAGGCATTTATTATACGATCCCTTTTACTTTTGTATGTTTAAAATAATGATATATTAATATTTTTATTTTGAAAATTAAGGCACTGGTAATCTCGAGAGTGTGATGCAAGTGGAAGTCAGAGAGCAACGACTGCCCAGCAAGAACTCTGGATTCCCAGTTCCCTCTGAAGCTCCCAGAAAACACAGGCCCGGGCCTCATACTTTCAGATCTTAAATTAATCAAGTACTGGAGTTCTTGCTAAGACACAAATTCCTGAATTAACTTAAGACCTAAACCTCCTGAATCACAGTTTCCAGGAAAGAAGTCTGGTAATATGCGTATTTAAGCAGCATTTAGGGAGACATTCATTTTTGAGAAACCCTAATTCAGAAGGTATTAAAAGGGGCCTTGACAGCTTTTTATTTGATTTTACCTTCGTTGGGGATTCTAATCACACATCTCCAACTGGGAAATGCTAGGGGTGCATAATACAGAAGAAGCAGAGAGCACAGTGCAGGGTGAAATATCTTTCCAAGGATGGTAGTAAGAGAACAGATAATAAGATAGGAGGTGGAGTCTAGGAAAAGTTAAGTCATTTTTAGTTTAGGGAACGCATAACCATGTCTCTTTGGGGAATAAGATAATAAACAGAGAAAAATCAGATGAAAAGTAAGGAGAGAGAGAACTGATGAAACAAGAACACAGTTAAGGGCCAAACAGTATTTTCCTCCACTGACAACAATAAAGGTGAGGGAAACATACATAAATCTAAAGCAAAAAGCAGAAAAGCTAGAGCTCACATCTAATGGCCTCAATCTCCCTAAAACAAGAGAAGAGGTAAGAAGATGGGAAGCGAAGGGAGTAAGGATGAACTCAGGATGTGTGAAGAGTGGAAACTGTCTGAAACAGTCGCTACAGGAAGCACCCTACACTGGGTGATAATGAATAAAATCACTGGGAACTGCAGTGGAAATCCGGCAAACACAGTAAAGGCACAATTCCATGACACTTCTAACAAGAACGACAGGTAATAAAGCTAACCACAGATGGCACAGCTGAGAACTGCAGTGGTGGAAGAACAAGTCGGTCAGGGATCTTAGAACGGAAGCACTGCATTGTCAGAGGGCTGACCACGAGAGCCCGGGCCGGGAAGGGAAGGCAGAACAAGACGATACAGTTGGAGAATTGGGAGAAATTGATAAGCTGACTATTTTCAGGGGACAAAGAGTTTAAAAGGTATTCTGCCAGTCTGGGAGCACTTGAAGATGAAAGCATTTTAAACCGTGACCGGAGCAGATCACGAGCAGAGGACGCTCTGGGGAGCAGCAGCAGGAAACAGAGCAGACAGGACTGCTGGACAAAAAGCATCGCTGAGTAATGTGACACCAGCGCTTCTCATGTTGTAACATGTATGTGCTGATTCACTTGGATCTTGTTAAAATGAAGATTCTTATTCAATAAAACCTGGACATGAACAGAAACTGCATTTCTAATGAGCTTGCAGGCAGTGTCAATACTGTTGGTCCTGGGATCCCATGGAGGAACAGGGTTCTAGAAGAGTTCTCCTCAGTTCAGGGACTTCCTCCACAACATGCACATGAGCAAGACACCCCCACTAGTGATGTCTCTCATCCCATGAAGTGACTGTAAACTGCAGCTTGAAAACGCCATGGAGATATTCTAATTTGTATTCTTCTTTCATAAAAAATTACTTTTATACATCAATAGAAACCATTAACTTCTCAAAAGTTTGTGATATAGCAAGGATAAAAATCTAACTTTTCCTAATTTAGCTATGATGCTTTAATCTTTTTGATGCCGTATCTTCCACAAAATCAAATTTTAATTAGGGCTGTCTTCACTTTTTAAAAGTGGTGTCCAGAATGTAGTAAAGTGGCTTTCAGCAAGTGTGAAGCTAGAGAGATCCTGGCCGGACAAAGACATCAGATCTAATTGTCCTCCCAGCCCTCTGACCCTCCCCTGAATCTCCTCAATAAAATGGTTTGACCTCAGCAAGAAGAAAAGAAGAGGAAGAGGAAGAAGAAGACTGTAGTAAAGTGACAAATAGGACAAATCAGAATATAGGCCCCATAGGAACAAACTGAAAGAACTGAGATCTAGTCAGCTTTCAAGTCATCTAGTTAAGGAATAATTTAATGATCATTAAATATAAATATTAAATATACATGTATAATCATTTAATAATCATTAAATAAGAGTAACTGTTAATCACAACAGGCAAAATAAACAGAACTTCTCTAATTTATAAAATAAAGATTTAGTTACTTATGTAAGTCACACTTTTGCAAATCTTCAATATAGCAGCTCTCTTCAGTGTAGGGATGATTTTAAATGAGGTATTATTTTATAAAGACTCAAAAACTAACCTCTACAATTTATTTCTATTAATTTCCTGAATAATAGTAATTCTTATTTGTATGGTGTTTATAATATGTAAGGAAGGGTTTTATGCAATAATAAAAAGCAAAACTCCTGGGAAGCAGTGGGCCAGGTATACCTAACCGTTCACCTCCGAGGTTCCTGACATGAGAAGCAAACCTTCTTCCTCCTGATTCTATGAGCAACATTTCTCATCTCCCTGCTGCTTCTCCAACTTTTATCCAAGGAAGAGGAATGACTTATCCAATTGGTATGCTTGGAAAAAGAAACTGGGCATGCACAACTCAATCCTTTCTGTCCCCTCTTTTGGGTCCTCCTAGCAACAGAAAGGGTACATTCTAGTCTGTGTTCTATGTCATGTGGTAGACAAGAAGCCTGCTGCCATCCAGCTGAACCAGTAACAGAAGTCAGGGGGAGGTAAGTCTACCTAGGAGTGAAATACTAGGAGGCCCACAGTAACCACACATCTAAGGTACATTCTCCAAGTCACCTTTTTTAAAAAAATCAAGAATAAAGCTGACAGTCAAAAAGAGAAAGAAAAACACCATAGGATATAACTCATATGTGGAATCTAAAAAAGAGAAAGAAAAAAAGAGGACACTAGTGAACTCATCGACAAAACAGAAATAGACTTGCAGACATAGTAAATAATCTTACGGTTACCAGGGGGGAAAGGAGATGGGGAGGGATAAATTTGGGAGTTTCAGATTTGCAAATGTTAACTACTATATGTAGAAATAGACAAACAAACTTCTTCTGTGTAGCACAAGGAACTATATTAAATATCTTGTAATAACCTTTAATGAAAAATAATATGAAAACAAATATATGTGTATATACATATGCATGACTGGGACACTGTGCTGTACACCAGAAATTTATGCATTGTAACTGACTGTCAATAAAACAAATAAATATAAAAGAAATAGGTGGAATTAAAAAAAAGAAAAAAGAATAAAGCTGACAGCTGGATCTTCTATCAGACTCTTATGTATCTCTCAGATGGCCCAGCGTGAGGAAGGGGATGAGAAAGGAATGGCTTATTGCTCCCTCCCCCGACAAATCCCAAAAATTAAGAAAAAAGACCTTCTACATGCAAGATATTAAGTAAAATTTTCCTAATTTTGTACTACATTAAATATCATAAAGAGTGGCCACGTCACCATTTAATTATTACAATACTACAATGTAACCTAAAGTCTTTGCCCTAAAATCTTACCTTAACAAAACGTTCGTATCGTGCCTTCACTATTGGATTATTTAAAATGCTTGTAGCAGTCAAGACACTTTCTCTTTTTATTTGTTCCTTATAAGCCTATGAACAACAGGACACGTTAAAATACTTGAAAACCATGCCATGAAAAATATTTCCATAATTAAAATGACACTGCACGACCAAATCCCTAGAATTAAATTATTTACTTTCTTTAAAGCAAATTAAGCTTTAAAGCAACACGGGGGGCACTGGCCACAACCTGAGTCAGCTCTGGGCTGACCAGCCGCACCAGACACCCAGCCACTAGACGCCCCAAGTCCAGGTGCGCAGCTGCCTTCTCTCCTTCCCGCTCCACGGCCACCTCCCCCGCCCCAGCTACTCCAACTGTTAATTTTCATGCTATCAAAAAGGAAAGAGTAACTTTCCACACTGCTAGAGTAATTAGTCTTCCTCTAGACTGTGGTTAGTACAAGACTGTATTAAACAAAGGAGGAAAATAATACGGAATGTCTAGTTGCCAAAAAGGTGTCAAGGGAATATCAAAAAGAAAAGAGAAAGAACAAAGACTTAAAAAAAGATCATATGTGCTCCAAGTAGCTAAAACATTCTGAGTTACAAGAGGTTCATGTCAATACAAATTATGAATTTAAGATTCAGGAATGCTCTATTTAAAACTAAAGTCTTTTGACTTGAATTTTTAAATTTACTTCTCAGAAAACAAACTTCTCACAAAATAAACATTTTTTATTTGAAATAAATTTGATTAAATAAAACCAACACAGAAGCATAAATGTGCTAATTAATGAGAAAATAGTAAATTTTCCTAAAATTTTTGAGTAAAAAATACATAGTAAACAACAGATAGTAACTGGCAATCCTAGTTTTTTAATTTATTTTTGCAATCATCAAAATATATGTTAGAATCAAATCTTTCCTTTCTTTTTTGTTCTAAAACACATACACACTCATAAAACTATTTTGTACCAACTTTAAAAAATGTTAATAAAAAGAACAGCTCAACAACAGCTCTGATGTCCTGAATGTATACCATGTGCCAGACACCACTTAAATGCCTTTTACATTTTAATCAACCTAATCCTTAATCAATTACTTAAGAGTAGAGTGATTATCCATCCTCATTTTACAGATAAGGAAACTCAGGCAAAGCAAAGTTCATTACTTGTTTAACACACGGATGTACTGCACCAGGATCCAGACGCAGGAAGTCCTGCTCCAGAGCCCACAGTACGACGCTTAACCACTGCACTACACTGCCTCTCTAAGTATTGTTACAGCTATTCACGCATGAGATTAATCGGATTGTACACAAGTAGGTAGGTTTTGGGGTGGGGAGGGTACAGCTCAGTGGCAGAGTGCATGCCTAGCCTGGGTTCAATCCCCAGCACCTTCTTAAAAGTAAATAAACAAGCCTAATTACACCTCCCCGCCCCAAAAAAAGGAAACCCTAAGTAGACAGGTGTGAAAGCAGCCTTTGAAGGGCAGTAAGGGATTAATGAATACTTCAACGACGTCATTAAGACAGATTAAAACTTACCTGCTTCCCTTTGATGTGATCGGGAGATTTTAAGTGCTGCTGAACGGAGCTGTGCAAAGCAGGGATATACACACTGCATGCGCTACAGTGGACCGTCTCCACTTTCATCATGTGATCATCTGCAGTAACACCTACAAAAGAAACGCAGCTATCAATAAGAAAAGTGCAATTCATACATCCTTACTTGTGACAAATAAATTTTCACTGTTTCAGTCCCATGATTATCTATACTCCTTCTTCCAAAAAACAGATCAGAATATGTAAGTTGAGTTTTTCTGCCCTATCTCATAAATCTACATATATAGATTAAAACCTATATGGATAACAGATTCAAATTATAAAGTATAATTACATTATATTTCCAAGTCGTGTTACACAATGATGCTCTGAGGCCTGTAAGTCCCGCTCCAAAGAATATTAATAAAGAAAATGAAAGTAGTATTAAAAAAAACTGACTCTGTAGTAAAATAAGAATTTCCACACTTATGAAAGTGAGCAGGTAGGAATAGGGGAAACAATGTCAAAATTGGATTCATTAGGGACAAAAATGTATGTTGGATCTTAAAAATGCTGATTGAGGTTTATCAGAGGTGAAGGTTACTTTGTATGGTTTTAATACCTATTTTATTTGTTGATTTCTGCACATCTCAACAGAATGAAGTAACAGCTTTGGCGCTCTGGCTATCCCTGTAACTCTGGCTCTCAGGAACAGTGCCTGCCACATAACAGGACCCTGATAAATACGTTGAATTGATAAATTATATGTATTGGAGTTATATCACTTTTGAAGAATCATGTATTTTTTAATGTTAAAAAAACTGACTTGGCTCTTCCTTTGGGTAATTCAATTTATCGTGACATTTGATTAAGAAAACAGCAGATAACATGTAGCTTCCATTATATGAAAAGATCTCCATGACCTCTGGTATTTCATTCTTGAAGCAACATTGTAAGGTACTAGAACTGTGGCCAGCTGTATCCATTGGTTCCACATCTGTGGATTCAACCACAGATGGAAAATAGTAATAAAAAAAAAATTTCATAAAGTTCCAAAAAGCAAAAAATTGTGCTGGCAATTATTTACATTATGTTTACGCTGTATTAGGTATCATAAGTAATCTAGAGATGATTTAAAGTATGTGAGAGGATATGAGTAGGTTATATACAAATACTACATTCATTTTTTTTTATTTAAATCCCAGTCTATCCCTTCCCACCCTCTACCCCCCTGGTAACCACAAGTCTGTATTCTCTGTCCATGAGTCTATTTCTGTCCTGTATTTATGCTTTGTTTTTGTTTGTTTGTTTTTGTTTTTGTTTTTTAATGCCATTTGCAGCAACATGGATGCTCCTAGAGAATGTCATTCTAAGTGAAGTAAGCCAGAAAGAGAAAGAAAAATACCATATGAGATCGCTCCTATGTGGAATCTAAAAAAATACATTCATTTTTTATAAAGGACTTGAGCATCCAGAGATTCTAGTACCTGCAGAGGGGTCCTAGAACCAGTCTCCCTCAGATAGAGAGAGACAACTGTCTGTGCAAGTGAAAGTATGAGAGAAAATGGCACTTTCTGGAAATTGAAAGTAATTCAATATGGCTGGGACACAGACTCTAAAGAAGGGACAAAAAGAAAAAGAGCAGGGCCTAGATACTGGAAAGCTTCATGTGCCACGCCTAGAAACTTTATTCGGCGGAGGATGGGGAAGCCATTGAAAATTCTCCAAGTAATAAAATCATGTAGTAGAATTAGAGATAAGAAAGACTAAAAGTAAGGAAACTTGTTAGAAAAATACTGTAATTAAAAAGAGAACAGATACAGATTTGAACAAATTCAATATCTAAAGAGGAGATAAAGAAACAGACTCAGTACATAAGTAAAACGTAGTGCTACAGACACAGTAAAGAAAGGGTAAGCACTTAATATTAACTGCACACTTCCGGCTTGGATGATAGGGCCATGTTCCAAGACGAATGAAGGAGATCTCTGTTAAGTTTTTGTTTTGCTTTCTTTATGGGGTGGGGGACACTTACGGGGAGGATAGACTTTTTGGACATGTTCATTTTGTGAGACTGCTAAAGAGAGATGTCAGCAGGCAGTTGGATGTGAGCCTGGAGTTCAGAAGAGAGATCTATGCTGAAGATACAGATGTGTAAGTAATCAATATACAGATATGAACTAAGCTGTGTAAGTAAACTGATTCATCAGGAAGGAATGCAAAGAAAGATGATGATGGTATGAATGACAGAATACTGAAAAGTAACAACTTCTAAAAGCCTGGTAGAGAAAGAAGAGCACAGGGAGTGAAAACGACAAGGGAGTGAAGAGAGAGCATGAGGGCAGAGACAGGGCAGTGGGATGTCACAGAACCCAAGGAGGAAGACAGATCCACAAACAGAGGTATCAGTGGAAAGTGCTGGGAAGACAACGACTGCAAAGAGCACACGGAAGCTGGTGTTGGTAACTCCTGTCAGAGCGGTGTCAGCACACTAGTGGTAGCAGGAAGCTGTCTACTGTGGGCGAAATAATAAATGGGAATGAAGAAATGAGACCAGTGTCGACTGTGCTTAAAGAAGTGTGTTTGTTTAAAGAGAAAGGCAGGTTTTAGAGGAAGCAGTGCCTATGTTTTTCTTTTCTTTTGGAGTTTTTAAAACACTTGTGCTTGTTTATTTGTTTTTAAGGTAAGCATAAGCTTCAGAGACAGAATCAAAAGAGAAGGAAAGAAAAAAAAAGAGAAGAAAAGACTGAAAAACAGCAGAGTTCACCATTTGACCAAAAGTCCTTAAAAAGACGAGAAGGAATAAGAGACACAGGACACACAGGAGTACAGCCGGCCCTCTGCATCCGTGGATGCTGGAGAGCCAGCTATGGGACCTGCGCATCTGCAGATTTTGGTACCCACAGTGAGCCCCAGAACCAGTCTTTCTCAGATACTGAGAGACAACTGTATCTTCCGTCTAGAGGCAAAGCTCATTTTTCCCGTATGAAGGAAATGAAGTGAAAGCAATGAGGGTAGGTGAATCTGCAAGCATGAGAATAGGAACCAGACGAACTCATTTCTGATGACCCACTCAGACCTCCCACATACGACTCTGTACTGTGTCACTCTAATGGGCATCATTTACACTGAAGCAGGTTATGGTATATGAAATATACATGTAAATTTCTAAAATAATTTGTTTAAATACATACCTTCCATGACATCTTTTTCAATTATTTTGACTACTTCTGTTTGATTATTTGTCTGTTGCTTACGAATAGATGTTTTTTTAAACTTATTAACCATACATTCCTAGAAAACAAAACAGAATGCAAACAGTTTTCAGTGGGCATGCAGTGCATGCCTGGCACCATGCCTGGCCTATGGAAGATAATGACATCTGTTACAAAAGAATAAATGTTCTCAAGGAGCTTACAATTTAGCTGAAAAGACTATTACAAAGTAGCAGGAAACTACAAAAAGTATTTACTTTTCAAAACATGTTTTAAGCATATATAGAGAGATCTAAGCCAGCTAGAACAGTCAAGAAACCCTCTCAGGGCAGGTCCATACTTGAGTTCTAAACGACAGTTAGGAACCAGTCAGTGAGCACAATTACAGAAAGAAATCTTAACTAAGGGACACAGTTCCACAAGGATGCAGAGGAGTGAGTGCTCACTGTACTTCTAACCTTCTAACAATCCCGTCTCTTTTGCCCGAATTAATTCTATATACACAGTTAGCAGTCCAGCTCCAGCCCTGGCTCCAGCTATCCTCCCCTTCTTTAAGCCCCTTCTGCCTACATGATGGCTCTTGGCCCTTCCGCCTAACAGTGCGACCTATGTATGAGGGCACTCCATTTCCAGTTAGTTCACGGAGGGCCCATGTCTCCAGTGCCTGCAGAGCGCCTCTGGAAGGTACTTAAGGAAACACTGCTGGACTGATGCCCACGTCCTGATAATACAAAGGACACTAAACATACACCAGAATCTCTGGCTCTGAATCTGGACTTCCATTTACTGAAAGAGCCAATAAACTGCTGAGAGCATGATCTTTTAAGATAAAAAGGAGTTGTTATAAGGCTCAAACGAAATATGAAGAAAAGTACCCAGCACAACACCAGGTACCTAGAAGACTGTTAATACATCACAGCTGATTCTACATCAATAAACAGTTGTTAGAGGAATTCTTTTCCTGACAGCTCTGCCAGAAACTACTGTGAAAAATATAAAATATTCTCTCAAATAACAAATCTAAAATCTATAAAAGAGGAATTCACAACTACTTCTAAGCTAATTTTAAAACAACTCTTTCTTTAAGTGAATAGTAAATTAAATTTTTAGAACACAAAATGAGAGAAAGATGGGAAACTATGAAAAAATTAGAAATTCAAATACCAGATAAAGTGCTTCTCACTTCAAAAAGAGATACTTACATGCAAAAACTCCATAACTACTTTATCAAATTTGGTTTGTTTCTGAATATGATCTAGTGTTTCCTGGTGTGAAGAACTTTCCAGATGCAGTTCAATATCTTTTTCCTCAAATGTTCGAAATTTACAAAATGAACATGTAAATGCCATCCTGTAAAGAATAAAAAGTTTTCCTTTAAATATTACCTTATTTACTTAGAAGGAGTTCGTAAGACTATACTAATGAAATTAATTTTACCAGCCTAAATTATTTCCTTTCTTCCATTTGGTGGTTGATTTAAATTTAGCTTAAGTCAGAAGAAAAACAGTATTTCTTTAAGTGACTGTCTGGACAACACTGTCACTGGCATTTCTGGCCCACGCTGGAGCTTCTGGATATAAAAGATGGAATCAGTGGGTCTCCTCAATCTATTCCTAAACTATCCCCTTCAAGCCTAGATCAGCTAGAAGTCAAAGCAAACGTCCAGAAATACCAAGTTCCAAAGCTCCACTACTTACTTTGTACTCTATTCCACCCTCAAGCTTCCAAACCACTTAAGTATTATCAACAAAACCAAGTGGAACACCAGACGACTATAATTATAATTCACTCTGTTGGAACTCTTGGGTGATCAAAAGTCCCGCCCCTGTGTAGTACTTAGGATGACTAACAGGCCTGGACTGGACAAATGCACTCATTTGGAAGCTCAGGAGCCACTCCAGAATGAATCTCCCCTTTTCTTCCCATTTAATTGTTCCTACCTTATATATTCGTGTTACTTCCCTTCCCTTACGACAATAGTTTCCTAACTGGCTTCTCTGTCTTTCATCTCCATTTTCCAGTTAATTCCTTACAACACTATTACATTTATGTCCCCGGGTGAGAGCACAGGGTCTGGACTCTTGCTCGTACTCCTACCTGGAAGTCATCTCCTGTGAAACTACTTTCCCCTCCCCCTTTGGCACCCTTCACCAGGTACTGCTGTCTGCCTGCTCCTCTCATACACCCATCCCTTTCCCCCAGGCTCCCTCACTCTTCCAGTCTCTTTGTTCTATTGGAAGTATTCAAATGTCCAGAAAGAACGATCACAAGAATACTTATTCACCGCCAATCTCTTGTCCTCCTAACTCCAAGTAGAACCGCTCTAGTAAATTAATTTTAGATTATTTTAAAGGAGTCTTATACTAAAATGACAATTTAACTGAACTGACATTCTTTTGGTTATGTCTAGAGGTTTATGTTTAGAGTTAGAGAGAAAACCAGCTAAACGAATAAGTTCAGTTCTTTCATTTTCTCCAAACCACATCATTTATCATATTAATATGGATATATCATGTCCAAATCTATAATTCTAATGGGGAAAGTATTCACAGGGTCATTCAACAGAAGAATCATCTTTGGACTCCTATGCATTTGATACAAAGTGTTCATTTCAGTTTACTTCCTCACGGAAGTAACTAAGCCCGTTAACCCTGTCAAAGGAAGGGATTACTCTCTCTGCCTCATAACAGAGATGATCACAAGGATCAAGGACCGTTTCCTCTTAAAACTAGAACTTCTTTTTATAGGCTAATTCTTTTTTTTTTTTTGAGGGGGAGGTAATTAGGTTTATTTACTTGTTTATTTTTAATGGAGGCACTGGGATTGAACCCAGGACCTCGTGCATGCTAAGCGTGCACCCTTATCACTGAGCTATACCCTCCTCCCTATAAGCTAATTCTTAATAAGCTTAAATCTGTTGTTTCTCGGGACCCAGCAAACAAGGAGGAACAGAAAACGCAGAGGAAAAGGTTATTAAAGCTGGACGCAAGGATTACAGAAGTAACACTAAGCAAACTGCTGTCAAAGACAGACTAAACAAAAAAATCTGAGGATTCAGAAGCAACTAAATTTCCTTTTACTACATTTTACATAAATAAATCCAATATATCCCGAAACAAAGAGTATCCTGTTTAATATGAAAAGAAACTCATACACTACTAAAATATCTCCATGGAATAATTTGCAGGTTCTTCTCTTAAAATGTTGTATTTGAACTAAGATATAAGATAAAGTTTTAGACATCCAGAAAATTCACTTACATGAAATATTTCATTCCCTTCACACTATACAAACAAGTTAACTTTTAAAGAGCAAAACTATTCTGAATAGGAAATACACTAAATTAATTTTTTTAATTTATATTCTTAATTTTCCTAGCATAAGCAGTACCTGGGCAAATTTCACAGAAAAAAAAAAAGAAAACTATATCAATTATTCCCCTTTTTAAAAATTGCCTAATTATCTTTTTTTCCTGTACATAATTTCATCCTGTACATATACCTTTCTATTTTGCCTGCGTTTTCTCCAAGTTATGACAGGCGTTGTAAACTTTATTTTTAACAGTGGTCTAAGAGGCCACACAAAGGGATGTGTCAAATCTTACATATACTTAATCTCTCTCTGTCACTGGTATTTGTCTCATGTTTGGAGCTATTATAAATAATTGTAATGGGCATCTTTTTCAATTAAACTCCTCTATATTTTTAGATTACTTTCTTGGAGAAATTAATGAATATTAAAAAATTCTAGACATTTTTCAAAACTGCTATTGCTTCCCAGTAGTGTTAACATCATACAGTCACCAGCAAATTGTAATGGCGTTCTTTGATTATATCCCAGTTGGTAAGTCTCTATTTCTTTTTCCTCATGAACAAAATGCCGTACTATTATTAAAATTTTCAGTTTATTTAACTTACAGTGAGCTTCAACATTGTCCCTAAAATTATTAACTGGCTGCTCTTCCTTCACTAAATTCTACATTGAGCATCTTCTTGTCTTCCTTTTTAGAAAAGTCTGGTTGAGTAATATTTATGTAACTTGATTAATCATTTCTCACATTTATATTTTCCAAGTCTGTTTGCTTTCAAGTTTAAAATTTTATTTAAACAAATCTAGTCATCATTTCCTTTGTAATTTATTCTATAGCTTTTGAGCCTAGAAGCTGATAACTAACCCTATAAGACTATCATTATGTCTCCATGTAGTCAATCTCAGGAAGACTGCAGTCTTCTTCATGCTATGACATGTGTTTATTTTTCAGAATACTGTATGTCTAGGTATTTGTTATTTTAGGGTTACCACCGTGAATGGGATCTCTTTTTCCTTAACTCTCCTAAGCAGTTACTGCATCCACAAGTTCTGCACCCACGGGATTCACCAGCCTCAGATGAAACACCAGGTAAACAAACTCTACCCAGTTCCAAAAGGCAAACGCTGAATTTGCCACACACAAGCAACTATTCACGTCGCATCTGCACCATATTAGGTATCACAGGAAATGCAGACACGGTTTATACTGTATGGAAAGACGTGCGTAGGTTAGATGCAAATACTATGTCATTTTACATAAGGGACTTGAGAATCTTCAGATTTCGGTATTCGTGGGGTTGGGGGTGGGATGGGGGTTAAGGTAGGAAGGGTGGTGGTCCTCGATCCAATCCACTGTGGATACCGACAGATAACTGAAAATACCAAAACTCAAAATCATTTCTATGTATCTTTAATCAAACCTTCTAATTTGACTCTCAGGAATTTTCCACATTCTAATTGATATATCTGCCTTTTCTAGGAAGTGGTTTCTTAATGAGTCCAACCTTCTGACTGTACTAAGCACAAACCTGTATCCATCCCCGTACTTCTCACTGTTCTTCTCTCTCCTGCGCCTTTGTTTCTCCCGCCGAGCTTCAATTCGTCGTTTTTCTTCTTCTTCATTTTTGGGTCAGTTTTTGCTAGGGGATCAGACAAAAAGGTTAAAACCAAAAATCATTCTTTCATTCTCCTTTTCCAGTCCCCAGTTCACAAATTACAGACATACCAGATTTACTGGGCAGTTGTTATCTAAACTGAACTCACCAGGAAAATCAGAGTTTGAGATTACTCAGTATTTCTGAAACTTCATTCATCTGAATAAGATCATCATGAATTTTACCAAATTTACTTCTCATCATATGCTATTATTTGCTACATACTTTTCTCTAAATCTGCTCATTTTTTCTTATCTTCATTTTTAGCAGTAATATCCAAATCACCTAAAATCATTCTGAATATCACACTAGGGAAACACTGAAGTAACCTGCCCATGCATGAAAAGTAGAAAAACAACGAACAGAGAGCCTTGGATGCAAAAACTCATTTATTACAGTAGCTCTCCCAAAATTTCTTAAAATGTATAAACTCTAAAATAAAAGCTGGTTCTTCCTCTTATTCTTAAAACATGTCTTAATGTGAATATAATAAAGTAATAAAATACACAGTGTAAAATGTACTATTTTAACCATTTCAAAGCGTACAATTTAGCGGCATTACGTACATCACGATGTGCATCATCACTATTTAGTTCCAGAACTTTTTAATCATTCCAAAGGGAAACCCCATATCTATTAAGCAGTCACTACCCACTTACTCTATCCCAAAGCACCTGGTAAAGTTACCAATCCACACTCTGTCTCTACAAATTTCCCTATTCTGGATATTTCATATAAACAGAAGCATACAGTATGTGGCCTTTCTTGTGTGGCTTCTTTTATTTAACATGATGTTTTCAAGGTTCATCCATGTGTTGGACCATGGATCAGTATCTCCTTCCTTCTTATGGCTGAGTAATATTCCACTATGCGAATAAACCACATTGTTTCCATCCATTCATCTGCTGATGAACATCTGGACTGTTTCCACCATTTGGCTATTGTGAATAATGCTACTATAAACGTAAGTGGACAAGCTTTTGTTTGAGTACTTCTTTCCAGTTCTTTGAAGTATGTATCTAGGAGTGGGACTGCTGGGTCACACAGTCAGTCTGTTTAATCACTGAGGAACCACCAAGTTGTTCCCCACAGCAGCTGTGCCATTTTACACTCCCACCAGTAACGTGCAAAGCTTCTAATTTCTCCACATCCTTGTCAATACTTCTTTTCTTTTTCATTTTTTTTTATTAAGGCCATCAGCTTCACATGGTGTGAAGTGGTACCTCACTGTATTAAAAGAAAGAAAAAGGTTCTTTCTTATGGTACATTTAATTTTAGACTTAAAAGAACTCATCTGCCCTCAAAACTTTCCTTTAATGCATTATTTATCCTTTGGGATTAACTTTGGAAAAAATATCTAATACAAAATCATGAATACCTGGGGATTCATAAACTCAACAGTAAATACATACTAAGTTCCTGCTATGTATACAGCGGGATGTTTCAAAACAATATAAAATCAATACCTTAAAATTCAGTATCTAGAATTTCCTCATTTTATAGGAACTTAAATGTTAAAACATTCTTACTTCACTAACCATTTTCAATATCCTCATTCAGTTTCCCTCAAACCCTCACTCAATGGAGAAGCTACCTGTATATGACCTTAAACTAGAAACAATTTCATTTCCCTTCCATGTGCTAAAGCTATGATATATGTTGAACCTCTAGCCAAATGACTGAATATGGTTCCTTTCCTACTGCTTTTCAACAAATCATACAGTCTACACGTACCACAGTGTAGCAAGACTTCTAACTCCTGAGTAAGAAGCAGGTATCTTTCAGAATGCCCACCTCACACCTGACAGTGAAAGTGTGATTTGACCACAGAACTTTGGCTTCATTCTATCCTCAAGTTTTATTAAAAAGGAAAAACAAAAAGTTGGGTCACAGATATCCGCTTTAGCGGATCAGTTTCTGTATCAAACTCTGCAATGTTTATTTAACTACACCTGCAAAATATATCTTTGAAATGCACCCCAAGAGGATCAATTGAATTGCCTACTCTAGTAATATTGGTAAATAACAGTCTATCAATTAGCACAGTTATCCCTACTAAAGCACACTTTATTAACTTAGTATCAGGCGTCCAGAATTCCAGAATACTGTTATTTTTAAAAACAATATAGATGTCAAATGCAAAGCATGGCAGAAAAGTAGATTTAAGGATAGTATTTAAGCCGCTCCTGAGTTTTGTATTATAGCTTATAATTTTGAGGAAAGAACCCAACATTTGTAATTTCAATTAATTTTTCAGATACAGTAAAATGTCTGTAATGTAATTATTTTAAAAAGTTGTTTTAAAAAAGGAAAAAAATAATACAAAGTAATTTCCTGTCACAATCACATGGAGGTTTAAGTGAAGGGTTTCTACAGCAAGACCTGCCCTGGAGCAGACCCTGACTTTGCATTTACTGGTTGTTTGACCTGGGCAGCAAGTTTACTTATCTGCTTTGTGCCTATTCTTCCAGCTACAGAGGGTCTGGTATGCACACCTCTACCTGAGCAGGCTGATGTGAGAATTACATAAGTAATGCCCACCATGCCTTTTAAACAGTGCCCAGTGCACAGTAAGCGTTCAGTTAAGTGCTAGCTTACTATTAGTAACAATTACTACAATCCCACTTCTGTCAAGTTGGATACACACATTAATCCCGAAGCAGTTTAAAAAGAGATGAAATTAAAGAAACAAAATAAACACACGATCAGTACCAAAAACATCAGGCTTTGAACAACTATAATTATTATGCAGTTTGTCCACATAAACATGAAAAAATTATCTGAAAGCATCAAGTCAAAAAAACAAACAGTAGCGTGAGCCACAGCAATTACATGTCCTTACTTACTGGGCGACTTGCTGAGGCTCGTCTTCTCCACGGGCTTTGCCAGCTTGGGTTTCTTGACAAAGGTCCCACTAGGCTTATTAAATGGTTGCATCATTTTTCTCTTTATTCCTCTTGCAGCAGCAACTGTCACATTGGTGGGTTTGTTTTGATAGTCAACAACAATTCCAGGTCTATGAATGCTTCCAAAATCACTCATATGCTGCAAATTTGTGAAATCAAGAAATATAAGCATAATATCCAAAGATAGAGTATGAATTCATAAAAAATTTACATGTCATCTACATAAAAATTTCCTGAAAATTCCTCAGAATGTAACTAAATTTCACATGTTCACTCTGAATAAGTATACTGAAAAACTTTGTAAATTATTACATGAACTCAAATCCAGTGAATTAGCATTTTTATTTCCAGTAGAACAAATATTGTATTTCCTACCTATTTTTGATTCTTACAATTCAAAATTACTTGAGATCATAAACAACGTATGTGCCTGTCAGAATGTTACCACTTGTACAACTCTCTGACAACTCCTCTTCAGAGTTCCTAATCGATGTTTTCCCATGAAAAGACCTTAAAAGAAATCTTTATTTTACTAAAACCTGACCTAAAACTAAAACACAAAGATGACCATATTTGAAGTTTGAAGTTACAAAAAAGATCTAGAAATCATTTAGGATTTCTCCCTGCTGAAAAAGGGATGAGAAGGCGAGATGGAACACAGTATGAAATAGGAGAGTTAAAGCATAACCATGCATCAACTTCCAAGACACACTTCAGATAAAGAATTGCATCTGACGTTCCATTCACATTCTTACCTAGAGAAACATACTCTGACCCAGAAGCCCAAGAAACAAAAGTTTACAAATGAAGAGTCATACTACCAAACGACTCTTTGTGTCCCTTCCTCTTCTCTTGTCATTAACAAAATCCACTACACCAGGAGGCCACATGTCCACAGAAATTTATTCTGCTAACCTTACTTTTAGAAGATAAAGATTGAGGAGTAATCTGAAGAGAAGGATCCAATGGGAATTGTACAAGTGAAGATTAAAAAAGAAAGCCCTGCTGGTTCATCTACTTCGTTAACAGGAGGACAGAAAGAAAAGCCCATTCAGACTAGAAGGTGAAGACAAAGCACAGGAGTACTGTTCTTCCATTGTGAAAACAAAGTGGATACTTTAAGTCTCACTAAGAAAAAAATCACTTGCCTACAGTAATATATAGCACGGAAAATAAATAGCAAGTGTTTTCCAAATTTTCAAACTGGAATAGATTTTCAATTTCAAAACCCAAAGCCTATTATCTGAACCATTTTCAGTTAATCTACAATCACAAAGTATGGTGGAGCAGCAATGTGCCCGTTGCTCACATTTGTGTGTTAGGCTAAGGAATGCCTGTCTCACCTGGTAGACTTGAGCAAATTGTGTTCTCAGGTCATTCACACAGTCACATCAGAAAAGTCTCCATTAATTATCCATTAAAGGTGCAATGCATTTTACATATGTAAAGAATAACTGTTATAAATGCAAAATTTCTACACAAGTATGATACACTACACTGATGTACCAAAGGCTAATAATGGACAGTCAAAAATGTGTGCCCTACTACATTTTTATCAGAAGTACTTTCCTCTGCAAAGAGAGTAAGAGCAACTGACTTAAAAAACAAACAAAAAAAACCATTTCTTACATTATGGAAAAAAATACAATATTCTTTATAAGATCAACCTACATAATAACTCCACCATCTACATACACTTACTGGGTAAAATTTCATGTAAGTCAAGCTACCTAAGAATGTAAAGCATAATCTTTATACTATAAATCCTGAAATTAAATACTTGAAGACTAGTGTATGTACTTATTTAAGCAGCAATTTACAAAATATTACTTCCTAGAAAGAAGCCATAGACATTTGTTCAGGGAGGAAATTATTTCTCATAGAAAAACTAGTGACACAGGTAAAACAGACCATCCAGTGACAGGACCTGCTGCAGGAGGGTGAGTTAACGGAAGTGTACTGACCGTGAATCCTCTACAACCTACTATGCATCTCAACTTCTTCACCAGGTAAGCATGGCTGAGCTCCCCTCATCTATCACCAACTTTTAGTCTCTTGTGTTTAATGTGAAATATGAAGCTTTGAAGAAATTCTACATGCTGGAGTTTGGCAGCAAAGTATACACATTTTATCATACATTGCACCTTTAACCTACTCAGAAACTCCAAAAGGGTTTATTACCTTTATAATAATCCAAGAACTGTCCCACCAGCAAAACTGCTAGTGTTGACAAGGAAAAGTGCAACTCCTTTTAACCCCTTTTAGACCAAATCTAATATCCTCACCTTTTTAATAAAGGGAGATTTGGCAAAACTTCATGAACAATCATCTCACGCTGCCACGTATTTTCTGAGGTGCTTGAAAAACGTTTACAGGCAACCTAAAAATTATGCTTACAACTCAGCTCTTGCTTCAAAATACACTGGGATGAACAGTGTTTACTCTGTTGAAAACCATGGTCTTGAAAGGGTTTAAAAGAGTGACTAGTGAAAAGAATCTGGAAAGATTCTGTTGTACTTACTCCTCGGCCTCGGCCTCTGCCTGTTGATGGTCCTCCAAAAGCATCATAGTTTCTGCTTCCAAACGTACTCTCAGGATAAGCAGGCGTTCCTCTCCCCCGAGAGCCTACAGGTGCAGGCTTCATGTGGGGTGAAGAAAAACCGCTGCAGGAAGAGTAACTCTCTCTTCCTCTGTCCTCCATAAACCCAGGCCTCAATTTTGAACGGGAGTAAGGTGCTTCCCAGCTAGACCCGCCCTGGTTTCTACCTCCGAAAGAGTCAAGGCTATTCCGGTAGGAGCTCTCAAAGCGACCACCATAACTACCTCCGAAGCGGCTTTGTTCGGGCTCATTAAAACCATAGCCAGATCTGTACAGATCTCGCCCACCCAGAGAAGACCTGGAGTCGTAAGACTCATAAGGTCCAAACCTGGAAGAGTTGCACAGTGAGGGAAAAAACAAAAGTAAGCTTACTAATGTTAGACAATTCAAAAGACAAATTATTAGATGACATTTATCAACTAAAATTCATTTATACCGTACTGGTTTGCACAGTTCTACTTTGGTTCATACTTGATTAGGGCTGGGCAGTTCAACATGAGCCCAGATAGAAAGCTATCTGAGTCAGCGTTTAAATATGAATTGAGTTAAACCTTAGCTTCAAAATCGGCTTTTGGCAGCTTTTCTATTTTATTTAAAAGAAAAGATTTGTCTGTCATTATTTAAGCCCAGCCCTAGTCTTGAAAAAGTCATTTGCTAAAGTTCACAAACTACTCAAACTTTCTTTGAATGCATCCCTAATATTGGAAAATACAAAATATTTACATTATTTTGGCTTTCAATAGGGACACAAATTGAAGACTACACAGATGTAGGTTATTTGTGACATAAAAGAGATCCTTTTGCACTCCCAGTAATCTCTATCACAAAACTGCTTCATTGTGTCTATAGCAGTCAAAATTTGGAGAATTATCTCTGGTTATAAAAATCTGTGGCTAAGGTCAATAACCAATCCTCAGTTTTCACTTGTAGACTCATAAATCTAACGATTCTGAAAGGATAAGCACATAAAATAGAAAATAAAAGACCACCAACATATACCCTCTGCATATGAATTTTCAAAGCAGATTAGAAAGAATACATTTTATAATGTCTTCAATTACTTGAAAAATTATTCCCTAGGAGGAAACTAAAACTACTCTAAAAAAGGGAGCGCACAGTCTCCTCAAGGTTGTAATAGTCAACAAAAGAAGCAAATCATCATACTTCTCACAAAGCATTGAGTACAGAAGTTGCGTGTTACCTTACAACATAGGTTTATAAAGGCCCATGATCACACGTGAGATAAATGGTAACAACTACACAGTTTAAGCACGTTACATTGACAATGTAATAGAGCAATAATTGATACGGTAAAACATTAAATGTGTTCATTACTTCAATCGTCTACAGATCACTACTTCTGAATCCTAGTAACCATATAAAAATTATTCTTCTTTCCAACTACATTTTTCAAAACATCTATCACATAAGCAAAATTGTAATCTGTTTATTTTCTTGATTTTTCTCTACTATAAACCATAAAAGCAGAAAGAAAGAAAACATCATTCAGTCCATCTTTAAAGAATCCAGATCCTTCACTTTACAAAGAAGGACAATAGTTTCAAATGTGTCCTAACTAGCTTTACTTGTATTTAGTAGGAATCTTTGTGCCTCAAAAAGTAGACCCCCTCGGCCTGCAATGTGCTCACCCCAGAGCCTGCAGTAGCTCAGCTAGGTTGAAGCCTTAACAGCATCGACAGTGAAATAAAGCACCACCCAAACTCTAGTGCGTTAAAATAAACAAAGGTACAGACTCAGGGCTTTAATATGATCCGAGCCTAGAGCACAAGTCTGTGGTGTAAGTAGTACCTGCCGATAAACAGCCTAGGTGGGATTTAAAGAACATTTTTATTATTATGATATGCTCTTGTAACTTACTTTAAAATTAAAATTAAAAGAATCACCTGTCTTAAATGTTTCTTAGAAACTGAATGTAGCTAGATTGGCTCAGTTAAATCCATTCTAGTCAAAACCTGCTTTGCTGCTTTAGAAAGTACCCCACATTAGGAAAGATTTTTTTGAAAATCATTAGGAAAAAGCTTCACAAATAATATTTCCAGTAACATTTTTATATCATTTGTTTCGGACATTCTGATTGATAAGCAGTAAAAGTACAAGAAGTGAAAAAAAAAAAGAAAGTTCACAGCTAAAGACAAAAAATCCTACTCCATTATATTGAAATGATAATGGTTTTCCTAAACTGATGTCTGCCAGTGACACCAAGACAATTTTTATAACAATTAACACCTTTAAACAAATAAGGCAATTATTCAATTCCAAAAGTATTATAATAACATGCCTAAGGAATACTCAAAATATTCAGAATCTTAGTCATCTAATTATTTGGCCAAGTGATTATGCAATTTACCTGCTACCCCCACCACCACCACTGTGATTGTCCATGCCATATGACTGGTTTAGGTAGGAGTCCATGGATCTTTGACCCCCATAGGATCCATGGCCATAGTCACGATCCATCCCTATAAAGAGTTTAAAAAGAAAAAATTAAAAGATGCTCACCTTTACTGGCACTCAAAAGCAGAATTTTTAGATAAATATCCTTGAATGTCAGACCTCCATAAGATCCAGGGCCATAATCACGATCCATTCCTAAAAGAGAGTCAATAACAAAACATCAGTGAAATACCATTTTCTTCAGGAATCTCTGCATAAAACACAAGATATTCATATCAATCATCTGAGTTGAAAATTTGTCATTAACATTTACGCTAAACTCATACGAGACATTGTAGGAAAAACACAGAGATGATAATCCAATGAAAAATCAGATTTGCTAATGAAACCTAATTTTTCAAGGAAAAACATTATCAATGAAAAAGTTCTATATTAAAATTATCTTCAGTTTAACTGGTATTTATTTGACTAGGGTATTACCGTAAGGTCCTGGGTTAGGTATCACATGGTACACAATTTAAAATTCCTATTCTCAAAAAAGCCAGCATTTAATAATGTCAAAAGGAAAAAAATTTTTTATAGTTTTCTGCACCTAACTCCTCTCAAAATGTCTAAAAACTCAGAAGCAGCTAGATTTTAAATTAGCCTAATTTCATTTAGTTCATACAGTAACTGAAATAGATATTTTTAAAAAGTAAAATCAGAGTGGAGCCAATCTGTGGTAATGTACCTATAAATATTTAAATCCTCAAATATTTAGAATAAAAGGAATGAATGTGAATTCTAACAATAAAAACACTAAAAAAAAATTATAATAAAATCAAGACATTAAGCCTAAATCTCACCTAAATCTCAACCTCTGACATGGAAAATATAACAAAAGAGATAACAACATGAAATTACTATGATTATAAGAACAAAAAATTTTAAAAACAATTTAGAATGTTTCCTATAAAGTCCTTTTAAATCCTTATCACACTCTCCAACTTTTATGCACTAATATATAATAGTATACAAAGAGCAAAAACATTAATTTTTATTTTTTAAAAACACTAGATTTTAATTACAATCATGTAAGTACTTCTAACAACAAAATCTTACAACTTTAAACGTGGAAGTGACCTAAATGATCACATTTGATCTTCCCATTTTACAGATAACAGAACTAAAAAGGTCTAAAGAGATGAAATGATTTCCCAAAGTCTCATAAGTATCACCCATCTAGCTCATGCTGTTGCTTCTACATGAAAGCACTCCCCTCTACCACCAAGTACCTGCTTACTGACATCTTCTCATCCTTTAAAGTCCATTTCATACTCTAATCCTTTCAAGGACATTTTTATTGATGCTGTCTCAGCTGATTATTATCTCTCTCCTTTGAATATGTACAAAAGTCCGTCGTTCCTCTGTGCTGTTTATGATACTCTGCCTTACATTCTGTTATCTGTGGCCTCATTTTAAATGTTCACGAGTCTTGCGGTCAGGGTCTAATCATTATTTTTTAACACACTCTAGGGCAGTAGTTCTCAAGGAATAGCTTGTTGGCCAAGACCGTTTCAAGGGGTCCACAAGGTCAAACTATTTTCATAAATAATACTTAAGACATTATCTGCCTTTTTCACAGTGTTGAAGTTTTTTCTGCACTGAAGATGCAAAAGCACTGGTGGGTAAAAGTGCTGGTGCTGCAGCACAAATCAAGGCAGGGACACCAGATCATGCAAGTAGCTGTACTGCACACCTGCAGTAAAAACTAATGTAACAAAAACGCCATCTTCACTTTAATAATGTCCTTAGTGAAGCAGTAAGATTAAGTGCAGTACATCACGACCTTTGAGTATACTTTCTCTCTGCTGTCCTGTGTAGTGAAACGGAAATGCACATACAGCAATTCTGCTGCATATCAGGGCATAAAGTTCCATAAATGCCATAGTTCTCTCCAGGAAAAGCCATCGTGCTAGTGTGTGGTTTGTGAACTGAATTAGCCACTTTTTACAAGGAATACTATTTTTACTAAAAGGAAAGACAGACATTCAAAAACTATGGCTTTCAGACTTGAGCATCTGGCAGGCACTTTCTCAAAAATTAATGAAGTGAAACTGTGGCTTCAAGGAAAACAAGTGACAATGTTTGTTGCCAATGATAAAATTCAAGCTCTCAAGTAAAAATTAGAATTTTATAAAACTTAAGCTTGACAGCTTCCCAATATTTAAAGGCTTTCCTGATAAAATTGATACTGATTTCTGATAAAATTTCTGATAAAATTAATGAGCATGACCTTATATATTGTATAAAAAAATCTGTCAATATTTGGAAAATCCGAATAACTTAGTAAACCACTATTTTTCAAATAACTAATGCCTGATATTACAGGATCATGCATCATAAAAAGATCCATTCAAAGTGCAAGGCATCCCAATGGATTTTAAAAAAACAGAGTACAAAAAGTTCATCAGTAAAGCATTAATGAGATACTTTACATTGTTTTTTGCTTGTACTAGTTGAAATCATGTGTGTGATGTACATTTACAGCACACCTCAATTCGGACTATCCACACTGTAAGTGCTCAGTGGCCACCATCTTAAACAACATAATTCTAGACTAATAAAGTAGTCAATTATTTGTCTTTAGAGTTGGTAAGTATACAATTTATGCTCATTTCTCTTATACAGAGACAATTATGAAATTAAAATAAAGTTTTCAAAATAAAAAGTCTTCTTTTACAGCCTCATGTTAAAAAGCAGTTTTAGGAAAACAAAGCAAAAAAACTATTTTGTTATTTCTGCTAATTTCTATTTTGAGTAAGCAGAGGCTGCCTTTAGATAGTAAATCATTCAGTTTTTTGATTCTGTATGTTTCTATTTCACTATGGAGTCATAAATTCCTAACATTTACTGAACACTCACCTACTTTCAGGCACTGTGGAGTACACAAAAATTAACAGAGCTACCTTTACATAGCAATAACTTTGGTACATTTTCCACAGCACTGTTACTATTCAGTCTATTAAAAAGGAAAAGAGGAAAAGTTTTTATATGTATTGTAAATAATCAGTGTGATTACAGGGACATAGACATATAAGAGGACTGTTTATATATAAACAATATTCTCCAGCTTACCAAATGAATTTAAAAATCACTTAAAAAATAAAACTATAAAAATATAACATGTCTTTATTATTAGTATAAATGAGTAAAAGGATATATTTACAACACAGGGAATATAGCCAGTATTTTATAACCATATGAAATATAACATTTAATGTTGTGAATCACTATACTGTATGCCTGAAGCATATAATATTCCATCAACCACTCCTCAATTAAAAAAATTAAATAAGAAGGTAATTCACTCAAAAATTAAATTGACCTGATATTTAAGCCAAACCTATTCTACTGCTCTGCCTGCTCTATCATAGAAACGATGAGCTCAGCAAATGGTAAAACGCACCTATTAAATCACAAAACAAGAGCCGTGGGGTGGCAGGAAAAAACCACCGACCTGTGACCAACAACAACTAGGTGTGTGACGCTGAGCCTTGAATGGACCACTTCTTATACCTCTACACTACCAGCATCGCGGTGCAGGCCACCACACCTCTCACCTACGCTACTGCAGCAGCCTCCTGATTTTCCTGCTTCCACTTTTGCTCCCTTTCTGTTTATTCTTGAAAAAAAATCTAGAAGAACTCTGTTAAAATGTAAATTAAACTATGTTCAATGCTCAGTACCTTCCAATGGCTTCCCATTTTACTCTAAGTAAAAGCCAAAGCCTTAAAATCTGTAAGGCCCTATACCAGTGGTTCTTAACCAGGAGCAATTTTGCCTCCCAGAGGACATTGGCAATGTCCAAAAACATTGTTGGTTGTCACCAAAACGTGCGGTGGGTGCTATCTGCATCTAGTGCAGAAGCCAAGGATGCTGCTAACATTCTACAATGCACGGGACATTTCCCGCAACAAAGAGGTTATCTAGTCCACAACATCAACAGAGCCAAAGCTGAGAAATCCTGCCCATTACCTCTTCATCAACCCCATCACATTTTTTTTAATATATATTTTTTTTAATTTTTAAAAATTTGTTTAGAGGGGAGGTAATTTTATCTATTTATTTAATAGACGTACTGGGGATTGAACCCAGAAACTCATGCATTCTAAGCATGCATTCTGCCACTGAGCTATACTCTCCCCCCTAAATATATATATTTTTATTGAAGTATAGTTTACAATGATGTATCAATTTCTGGTGTACAGCATAATGCTTCAGTCATATGTGAACATACATATATTCGTTTTCATACTTTTTCACCACAAGTTACTGTAAGATATTGAATACAGTTCCCTATGCTATACAGTATGAACGTGTTGTTTATCTATTTTATGTTAGTATCTGCAAATCTCGAACTCCCAATTTATCCCTTCCCACTCCCTTCCCTCTGCCACCCATTAACCGCAAGTTTGTTTTCTATGTCTGTGAGTCTGTTTCTGTTTTGTAAATAAGTTCATTTGTCTTTTTTTCAGATTCCATATCTAAAAAATGGTATTTTTCTTTCTCTTTCTGGCTTACTTCACTTAGAATGACAATCTCCAGGTCCATTCATGTTGCTGCAAATGGGACTATTCTTTTTGTGGGTGAGTAGTATTCCATTGTATAAATATACCACAGCTTCTTTATCCAGTCGTCTGTCAATGGACATTTAGGTTGCTTCCATGTCTTGGCTACTGTAAACAATGCTGCTATGAACACCAGGGTGCCTGCATCTTTTTGCATTAGATTTCCTCTGGACATACACCCAGGAGTGGGACTGCTGGATCATATGGTAAGTCTATTTTTAGTCTTCTGAGGACGCTCCATACTGTTTTCCATAACAGCTGCACCAAACTGCATTCCCACCGACAATCTCACCCCACTGCCTCTTAGCTTCATGGTCCACGACCTCCCCTCATTGATCTCACTCTAACTACACCAGGCCCATGCTGTTTCCAGAACACAGCAGGCCTATACTCGTGTTCCCACCTGCTACCCCCTCTGCCAGTAACGCTCTTCTGTACCTGTGCTGCTCACTCTCTCAACTCTTTCAGGTCTCCGCTTTCTACTGCTTCCTAGATACAAGCAAATTATCTCTGATTTTCAATGCCTTCTGGCTACACCTCACTACTCTAACTTTGCCTTAAGACTGCTCAGCAAGAACCATCTGCTGCAATCAAGCCCATCTTCTTAAGTCCTCTCTGAAGCACAATGCACTCAGCCCTACCTTTGTTCCTGCTTTCCCTCTACCTGAAACACTCTCCCTTTTCTTGTCTGCTATTTGTATAAGAAGTATTTTTGAAACAAGAAGGAAACATGCAGACACTGCAAATAAAACTTCCTTCCAAGAAATGGTGTGGAGGAAATCTGTACCCTGACATGTTTTCTAATACTTTCTACTTCATTTCAGTCACTGGAAAATACAATGTTAACAATCAACACATTGTTGGCTTCACCTGGTAACTACTACACATTTTTTTATTTCCCACAGCATTCTTCCTCCAGATAGCTTCATGGCTTGCATCCTCAAGTCCCTCAAATCTATGCTCCAAAATTACCTTCTTAAGGAGTCTTTCCCCAGCTAATCTCTTTAAAATTGTAACATACATACATACCCTCCCCCTTGCCCTGTGTTACTATTCTCCCTAGCAATTGTAGCAATACAATATTTATTACTTGTTTACTGTCTATCTTGTTTATTATTTCAGCCCACTAGTTTGTATACTTCACAAGGGCAGGAATATTTGTCCATTTTGTTCACTGCTATACTGCCAGTTCCAAGAACAATATCTCAATAAATACCTGTTGAATGAATGAGGTCAAATTGTATCCCTCAAATTAAGTTCCTCATTTATAAAATGTAGATAAACCAGATCTCCAAGTGTTTTTAAGCAGTAGCCTTTAACTAGAGCTGCATTCCAAATCATTCAAAGTACTTCTTCAAAACTTACTCAGCCAAGGACTACGTGCTTTAAAAATTAAGATTCAAGAGGACTAGAGTATGAGGTAAACAGATAAATTTTGAGAAAGCTCCACAGGGGATTTCAACAATCACTCTCTAGTGAGAACCACTTTTGGAACTAAAAGTAAGAGCAAAATAAAAGTCATAACATTAGTAAAAGATTAATTTGTAAGGATACATGTACCCCCCCCATGTTCAGTGGAGCATTGTTTACAACAGTCGAGATATGAGAACAACCTAAGTGCCCACTGACAGATGAACAGATAAAGATGATGTGGGGGGGCTGTGTGTGTATGTGTGTGTGTGTGAAAGGGATGGGGGGGAGAGAGAGAGAGAGAGAGACAGAATATTACTTAGCCATGAAGAATGGAATCTTGCCATTTGCAACAACATGGATGGATCTTGAGGGCATATGCTAAAGGAAATTTAAGTCAGACAGAGAAAGATAAATACTGTATGACTTCACTTATATGTAGACTCTAAAAACAAACAAAAGAAACAAATCAAATCAAAACCAAATTAACAAAAAAGCCAAGCTCATAGATTTGACAGACTGGGAATTGCCAGACAAGGGGGTTTGGGGTTTGGGGTGTGGGGAGCAGGGATGAAATGGATGAAGGGAGTCAAAAGGTACAAACTTCTAGTTATGAAATAAAATAAGGCATGGGGATGCAATGTGCAGGATAACAACTACAGTTAATAATAGTGTATTGCATATTTGAAAGTTGCTAAGAAAGTAAATCTTAAAATTTCTCATTAAAGAAAAATACTTACACTGATAGATACTAACTAGACATTGTGGCGATCATTTCACAGTATATACAAACATGGAATCATTACATTGTATACCTAAAACTAATATGACAATTATATTTCTACTAAAAATAAAGTGCATCTTTAGGAAAAAAAGGTCATAACATTAGCATCAGAAATTTCTGAAGCACCTTTTGCAACACTGTACATTAAGAAAATAAACTTCTGGCAGGGGAGGGGGGTGGGAAAGGACAGACTGGGAGTTCGAAATTTGTAGATACTGACAGGCATAAGTAGAATAGATAAACAAGACTACACTGTACAGCACAGGGAAATATATACAAGATCTTGTGGTCGCTCACAGTGAAAAAGAACGCAACAATGAATATATGCATGTTCATGTAAAACTGAAAAATTGTGCTCTACACTGGAAATTGACACAACATTGTAAACTGACTAAAAAAAAAAAAGAAACTTCTGGCCCTGTATGATTCTGCATTTTAAGGTTCTATATTTAGGCATTAACTCCAACTCTCTGATACCTCCTGCTGGAGATCATGGTCTTCTACCACTCCAAATCTTTTTGGTAAAAGTACTAGCCCTACTCCCTCCAGTTTAAAATTCTGGATTCATTTTTATTCATCCCCCTCAATTTCCCACTCACTACTAAGTTCTGCTAATTTTCTCTAGAAATGTCTTAATATTTTGTAAATTACTATCATCACCTCCCAAGTTCAGGGTCTTAAAATCCTTACACCTACATTTATGAAACAGTCTTCTTGACAATTTTCCAGTTTTCAATCTAATCTACTTGTGGATGCAAATTAAACTTCCTCTGGTAATTTTATTACGTCACTCTCCTGCTCAAAAATATATTTTTCAACACTCAATACATAATGACTACCTCCTATATGCTCAACCCTTTTCACCAACATCAAATTCAAAGTTTCTCTAAATTCGTGGATGATAAATAGAAATTAACTGTGTGGTAACTATTCCCATAAAATGGCACAGTCTTTATTTAGTAATACATTTGTTTTAGTTTTATTTTGTGAATATATTCCATTCTGTACAATAACTGAATTTTGCAGTTCTCTGGCAATCGGGGTATTTAATTCCACTTCTTGGGGTCCTTCACATAATGCTTTTTTAATCTCTTTGGATTGTTCCATGTTCTTTTTTGTATTACCATCCTGTCTGGCAGAGCCTTAACTCTAAAAAACTAACAAAATGACGTCCAATTGTATTCTGCGTTTCTCTTATGCTTTTATCTAGGCTTGCAGTCACAACTCTGATGTTGTATCAGTAAATAATCGGGATTTCTATGTACTCCTACAGACAGCTCTTTATATACTAACACGTTTGTACAAATTAAAGCAAGTGACCTCAAAAACAAGGTCAAAATGTATTACAAAAGAAGCAATACAGAACCAAGCCAATAATCCACTTAATCTACATTACTCAATACCAAAGCCTCAAATTCAACAAAAATAACTCAGCTAGTTTCTCATCAGTCATCACTCAGAATGGAGTCAGGGCTTTTCGCAATAAATTAAAGGAATCACAGATTCACCAAGAGACCAAGCAACAATTGCAACAAGGCAGAATTCACTTTTTACATTGGTACTTTATATGGACAAAGAGAAAAACCGAAATGCATTCCCTTAACGTATTTAAGAGCAAATGAAAGAGGACACTCACCATTAAAGCTCTGATAGGTATTTCTGCAAGCGGAATGTGTGTAATCTATGAAGACATATTTAACAGGAAAGAATTAGTACAATATTAGCAAAAATCTGAAATTATACATCCATCTATTCAAAACAGACAAAAAAGGCAATTAAAAAATACCATTAATTCAATTATCAGCAAAAAAAGGGTATAAATAATTGTAAGTATTTCATATGGGAAAATAAAAATCCTTTTCATGATCTCCCCAAATGGCAAGTTTATCATCAAAACTATGGTAATATAAAAATTAGTTAAAACACCTGATAAATAACAGCCAAAAAAGAGGATCCATATACAAAGCAACAAAAGGAAAGACAGATTAAATTATGTATTAAATAATGCAAAAAGCAGGGGCATCTGGGAATTGATTCTACATAATATATTTCTACAAAGTTAATATTTCTTTTACCACTTAATTTGCTCTCTAAAAATTTCAAGATCTTATTTGAGAAATGCATATGCATATATGTGTATATGTGGGTGTGCTACATCTATCCAAGGTGTGGAACCACCAAAAATCATATTGATAATTTGTCCAAATTAATTTGGCAATTCTTAAATCCTTCAGTTAATTTTACTAATAATTTACTAAAGGAATCTAATACAGCGGTCATTTGGATACAACAGAATCCCACTACACTACACAGGATTAGATTCAGATATATTGTTAGTCAAATTCCATCCCCCAAATATAGCAGTGGGGGTAAGCAGGGGGCATGAGAGAGGGAGTATTTTATCACTGACATTGTTTAGAATTTTATAACTTACACTGTTTTAGAATTGTAGGTACATGGTGATAATAAAAAGCAAATGTACTAAGTGTTACTAGCGTTTTTCAATTCTCTACAATGGATTCCTTTATGGGGGGAGGGAACCATTCCCATCACTCCCTCCCCCCACCTTTGTAGTTTCTGCTGTAACTTGGGTGTTGCTTCTGTCATCAAACTTTGGTGTGAAAACACAATAATGTATTTTTAAAATTCATTCTCAACTCTAGCACTTCAATTATTCATCACTTAAAGGTATCTGTAACAGAATGAGTCAAGGTCCAACTAAAATGAAGGAAAACACCAGAGTGTGCTACTGTTAACAGCTGAACTTGCTATTAAGTAATTGAAACATCCACAAAAGGGGTTTCTTTCCTAGACCCCTTTCATAGCCTTGGGTTTGGCAGCTTTAACTCTTTGTGGCATGAAACCAAATCAAAGATCAAAAAGATCAGTTAGACTCACAGCACATTCAAAGTTAAAGATTTTGGGGGGGTTGGGTTAGAGGCTTACAACCCGTTAATGAACTGGTTTTATTCAGAAATACGTGGCGACACAGGATAAAATCCAATTTAATTATTCACACTCTTTTTCGGGTCTCCGTAATGCTGTCATTATGTACACATTTTATCTTGACACCAAGTCCTATAAAAGTTGGGCAAGATACGAAGACAAGGTGAAGAGCAAATTAACTTTACGTTGTGAGCCTGTGAAAATGGAGTAAAGAACGGGCGAGAGAGACGCTGAAAGGGCTTGCTAACCCGCGGTCTGCTCACAGCAAGACCCGCGCAGGCGGCGGCGCCGCCGTCGGACCCCGAAGCGC